CAGCCGCCTCGCCTCCTCCGGCCGCCGCCGCTCACTCCCGGGCTCCAGGGGCCGCGGCCGGGACGCACGGCCGCCGCGGGGATCGGATTCCGGGCGGCCGGATGGCGCGGGCCGCTGCGCCTCTCAGCCCAAACGCGGCGGCTGCATTTTGCTTCCCCGGCGAACGGGCGTTGGGGGAGGCGGGGGCGCCCCGGGCGTGCGGAGGAGTCTGGCTGCCAGGCGTCCCGCTGCCTCGCCGGGCTCCTCCACGCATAAGGGTGGCCGCCCCGCGCCCTCCGTCCGGCCGGGAGTCCCGGCCGCCGCCGCGCGCAGGAGCCAGCGGTCCGGGCGCAGCGCGGGGACCCGTGTGCCTCGCCGGGGCTGCGCGGGGCGCACACTTGCCGCGGGAGGGGCTGGCTCCGGGAGAGGAGAGCGCGGGCCGAGTGTGTGTGCGCGCGTGTCTGTATATGTTTGTGTGTGTATAGTGTGTGCGTGCAAGGAGGAGCTTAGTGTGATGTCAAAGCTGCTGGGTTTCTCTCGCCACGCTCCCCGCGTCGCTCTTCCTGGGCAGCAGCGACCCCTGCCGGGTGTCTAGTCGAGCCTCAGCCTGAGACTTGGTCTAGCTAGGGCAAAGGGGAAGCGGCTCTGATCTGGGAGTGCAGAACAAAATCCCGTGCCCTAAACACAGGAAAACGTGTGTGGGTTTTGTAAACAGCCTAACCGCTTCCTAGAGGAGCTCACAGAGCTCCCTAACTACCTGCCCAGGGATGAGGGGAAGGCTGGTCGTCTCCGGAGTCCTTCCGACACCCCCGGGAATATCTAGGAGAGTGGCGATCAGACTTGAGTTGTAAAACTCAGAGTGACTTGCTGGGCTCAGTGGCACACACCTGAGAGTCCAGCACTGTGCGTAGACTGAGGCAGGAGAATCTCAAATTCGAACCTAGCCTAGGTGATTTAGCGACTTAGACCTGTCTCAAACTTTTTTTTTTTTTTTTTTAAGAAAAGGACTGGGGACATAGTCCAATGAGAAGGCCCCAGGTTTAATCTTAGGTACCACCAAGCTAAAACAACACCTCCATCTGATGCGCCGAGCTGCAGTGGAGTTTCGGATGGAGCAGCTATTCTGGGTCGGGCCCTCAAGTCTCGCAAGTTCCCAGGTGTGGCTAAGGTAGGAATAGGATTCTTTTCTCCCATCTGGCCCCAAGCATGTAACATGTGTGTTCTCATAGCCAGGGTGTTTCCTGCGTGGCTGGACTATTTCTCCGCTGTGTTTGTGCTGGTTGTCATAACGGGTAGCACAGAGCTCCCAGAGCCAACACACAAGCGAGGTTTGTTTGGGTTATGGGCGTTCTCAGTTGTACACCAGTCAGCAGAGAATACAGTTCCCCTAGAGTAGGGCCCCCCAAACTGTGTCACGGCATAATTCCTTACAAACTAAAGCTTGGATGGTTGTTATTCTTTGTCACCAGTAGTCTCCTTGCTTTGAGATCCCCAAGATATAAAGTGTCTAAAGATATTCCTGCGATGCTTCTCCAGTCACTCACATTGTATTTCCCACCTGATGCTTTCAGGACTTAATTCAGGAAAAAAACAAATCAATAAAAGTCCACCTTTTCCCAAGAACCTTCATATGAGTCCATATGTCTGTGAATGGGTAGCTCCCAGTGCAACTGCTCTTTCCGGGCAGCAGTGCAAACAGCTGGAGACTGTTAGGGGAGAATGGAGAGCCCCAGTTCTACCCAGATTAGAAGCAGCCGTGAGAGCTACTTAGAAGAACTTGTCTCCATGGTATTTGGCGTGCTGGATTTGTACATCTTCCTACCTTATTTAGTGTAGAAAATAGGCTTCTAGGCAACTGGAGCAGCGCTTTTTATAGTGCCTAATGCCAAGGAGACAACTGCAGACTGCCTGGCTGCTCATTCCTGAATCACTGGGGATCTGCAGGAGGAGCCCGGTTGCCACAAAACCCAGGTAGACTGTGCACAGATGCCTTCGCAGACTGCAGTCTAATTAGCCATGGATCCTCCACAGCCCTCCCTCTGCTAGCGCTTTTTCTCTGAGCCCCAAGCCTCGGAAAATGTGTCATGGAGGGTGTGTGACTTCCTCTTTGGTCTTTCTTTCCCTGAGGCATGAAGGGCTGATGGCGAGTTGAGAGGCAGCACCATGGCGGGGAGACTGTCATGGTGCAGGGCCACTGGGCCAACGAGAAAAACGCCAAGAGACAAAGAACGTGGGCGTCCTACTGATGAAGAAGGGGTTTATAAATATGGAGAGAAAAGTATAAAGAATCCAGAGGCTTGGATTGGGTTAAAAATGAGTACGGAATAACTTTTTAAAAACCGTGTGTGTGCATGTGTGTATACATATATACCCCAGAGATAGCATAACTCTGTCCACTCAGATATCACTAGCAAAGGACACATCAAGTCACCAGGAAAACTTGCTTTCCCACTATGAAAAGAAAGCAGGCCTGATTCTGGGCTGGATTGGGAAAGTATGAAGTGATTTTGGAAACTCCTGTAGGGAAATGCACAAAGCAAGATGGGAATGTGTCAGAAGGAGACATGAGCCAGCGGTAAGGGATTCATTCCTATGAGCCAAATCCAGGACAATTTGGGTATCAAGATAAGTAATGAGGGCCAGGAAGATAGCTCAAGTAGCACAAGTGCCTGCCTGGTAAGCACAAGGTCCTGAGTTTGGTTCTTGGTGCCCCTGCCCCCCAAAGTTATGATAACTGGTCATAACCTATTGAATAAAAGGTGTCTCTCTACTAAAGTAAGTAAGTTATGAAATACATAAATAAACGGGGTAGATAGAACAGTATGACCTAGGGGTAGAAGTGCCTACCTGTTGGGATAGTTGGAGATAGTCACCACTTGACAGTGTTGGTTGATACAAGCAGGTGGATAAGTATTTGATGTAAGCAGGATATTAGCCAGTTCTTGAAGTAGCTTCTGAAAACAAATATTTCATTATAAGAGGAAAATTTGTTGCTTCGTTACAGAGAAGCTTGGAATGGCACCAAGTGGACGAGCAGCTCCCAGTGAACACCACTGGTTCCAGACTGAATCCTGTGCGCCTCATTGGGATACTTCCAGCAGATTGCAGCTGCATTTCTGTCAGGCTCCAGCCCTTAACACATGGCCTTGGTCTGGACGAGAGAATGTGAGAATACACTAGGTGGGCCCAGCCAAGAGGTATCCTCCGGTGAAAGAACCGTGCTCTCTAGTATTCTTAAGGTTGTGAAAGAACGAAGAAATTAAGTTTAAAAGATCCAAGAGACATGACTCCGAAAATGCCACAAATGATCCCGGATTGGCTCCTGAACTAGGAAGAAAAATGAAACGGTTGGCAAAGATGAAAAGAAGCCTGTGGAACAGTTGGTATGTGTCATTGGGGTCACTTCCTAACTTGGATGCTTCCACGGATGTTTGTAGAAAAGCTTGCTGAAGATTTTAGTACTGATGAGATGGTCTGCCTGCAACTTGCTTTAAAGTAGTTCAGAAAAAATAACCTACCTGTAGATTCTTGATTCCCACAGGCCACACTTTGAGAGAACCAGAGCACAGTTCAGGATTTTTTTAATCCTGAACTGGATTTTTTAAATCCTTTCCCTTTGAGTTTGTGCTGATGGTTTTTGAACCCCTGAACTGGTGGCTACTGGGGGAGAACAAAGGATCCTCGATACACTGACCTGGGAGCATCCTATCCTTGTAGAGAAAACATGTCTGTATCTCTCCACATAACCATATTTATTATTTTCATGCATAAAATGATATTCCAGGCACTGAAAATACAATCAGGAACAAAAGAAGCTTGGTTCCTGGTCTCAGAGAATTTCCACTCTGGAATTGGAGAAGGCAGAAATTTGTAAAGTTTTTTTACTATTACATCAGGTAATAAAAGGCACTGTGAAGAATAAGGTAGCAGAGTGTGGGAGGTGACTTATTTTATATAAAGTGCTGCTATTTTAGGTCAGGCAGTTGATGAGAAGATGTGTGAATCGAATCCTGGATTAACCACTTGTACCATGAAGGGGGAATGAAAAGTACAGTGCTTTCTGGGGCAAGGTTTTATTTTCTGGGCTAAATGTCCTAAAGAAGCCATTGAGGGTGGAGTATGAGGGAAACAGTGAAGGAGATAGATCAGAGATGGAAGAGTGCACGTGTCCTTATAGTCAAGGGGGAGGACACTTCAGCTTTCATCCTTGGGATTCAAAGAATCCTTTTATTATGAACAGAGATGTGTATAATTATATGTTTTTTACTGTTGGGGCTTTTTCAGTACTAAGAATTAACATAGGACCTTGGCACTGAGCTACAATCCCAGCACCACCTTCTCCCCTTAAAAAAAACACACACACACACAAAAAAAAACAAAACAAAGAAACTGAGACAGAGTGTTGCTAAACCACTCAGACTAGGTTTGAGCTTGTGAGGTTTGAGCCTCAAGCTTCCAGTGCTGAGATTGTAAGAATGCACCATTGCACTCCCTGTATGATGCAGTGTAAAAGGTTCATCCTAACTGTGATGCTGCACAGGGCAAGTGTAGAAGCTACAGAAGCTAAGAGGAGCCATAGCAACAGTTAAGAACATAGGAACTTGTGTTAGAGAGTAGCAGTGTGTGCACTGGGAAGTGACAGGCCCCTCAATGTGTGTGCTTTATTTTCAGAGCTAAGGATTGAATTTAGGACTTTGTAAATGCTAGGACAAGCACTGTACCACTGAGGTAGACACCTAACCTTTTTTATTTTGAGATAAGGCCTTAGTAAGTTGCACAGGCTGACCTGGAACTTGTGATCCTCCTATTTCAGACCTCTGAATTGCTGGGATTACAGGCATGAGCCACCATAGCTCTTCAGTGTATTTTGAAGATGAACCAAATAGTGTTCTGTATTGCATTTGGTGTGGGAC